ATCCTCACTACATTCACAACAATCACAAGAAACACTCACAAAATCAGTGTTAAATATGAATGCAAGTTATATGCTAGGGGGAGAACCCCTGTGGGAATCCAGGATGGAAAAAGGTCTCACTAGATGACAGACTCAGCAATGGCATGCAATGCCAAGCTGCAGCAAGCAAAGCCAGCAGAATATTAGCATGCATAAAAAAGGGAATTTAGTCAAGAGATAAAACAATAATCCTGCCACTTTATAAAACTCTGGTCCGGCCACATCTGGAGTGTGCCGTCCACTTCTGGTCTTCAATCCTTAGGAAAGATGTGCTGGAGCTGGATAGAGTCCAGAGAAGGACAAAAAAATGATTAAGGGGACTGGAGGACCTCAGTTACGAGGAAGACTACAGACATTAAAAGTATTCTCTCTGGAGGAGGGACGCTTGAGAGGAGATATGATAGTGATATATAAATACCTCAGTGGTGATTCTGGCATAAAGAAAAAACTTTTCAGTTTCAAAGACACAGGGCCACTCAATGAAATTGCAGGAGAAGAGGTTTACTTAAACTGCGTAGGGGGTTTTCACTGTCAGAGCGGTAAGGATGTGGAACGCGCTTCCACAATCAGTGGTGTCAGTGGATAGTATTGATAGTTTAAAAAAACTCTTAGAGCTGATTTACACACGTGCGGGTTCAGTCTCAGGTTTCACAGCTGATTGATACAGTAGTTGTTCACCGGTTCACGTCAGGTTTACATCAGGTTCAGGACAGGATTATCCTGTTCACACATATGAGAAACGGTTCCCATAGACGTCAATAGACTGTAATCCGCACCTGAACCTGACCGCACTGCTCAGAAATCGTACAGGACTGTTTGAAACTGTACTGAATCTGCACAGCCAGTGCACCAGACATATGTGAAAAGGCATCATAGGAAGCAATGTTTTTGTCATGCGGATTGGATGCAGTTCAATCCGCATCCTTTCCACATATATGTGAACCAGCACAAAGGCTGGCCATACACTATACAATTTTCTTTAGAAAATTGCTGTAGATTTACCAAAAACCATATAATATGAGGTCAAACCTAAACAACACATTCAATTGTATCCAATTAGGCGGGCCCTTGCACTACACAGTTGAAGATAAATCTAAAGAAAATTGGGCAGAAATTGGACAGAAATTTGTATAGTGTATGGCCAGCCTTAGAGCTGATTCACACATGTGTGGTGCAAATTGAAGCTCAGGTTTCACAGCTAATTGACACAGTAGTTGTTCAGCAGTTCAGGTCAGGTTTACATCAGGTTTAGGTCAGGATTTTATCCTGTTCACATATGAGCTGCTCAGAAATGGTTCCCATAGACGTCAATAGGCTGTAATCTGCACCTGAACATGACCGCACTGCTCAGAAATCGTACAGGACTGTTTCAAACCGTACTGAATCTGCACAGCCAGTGCACCAGACATATATGAACAGGCATCATAGGAAGCAATGTTTTTTCACATCATGCGGATTGGATGCAGTTCAAACTGCATCCTTTCCGCATATATGCGAACCAGCACTTACAGCTGATTCACACATGTGTGGTGCAAATTGAAGCTCCGGTTTCACAGCTAATTGACACAGTAGTTGCTCAGCAGTTCAGGTCAGGTTTACATCAGGTTCAGAACAGGTTCAGGTCAGGATTTTATCCTTTCACACATGAGCTGCTCAGAAATGGTTCCCATAGACGTCAGTAGCCTGTAATCTGTACTTGAACTGGACCGCATTGTTCAGAAATTGTAATCAATCCGCACTGCCAGTGCACTGGACATATAGGAACAGGTACCATAGAAAGCAATGTTATTTCACATGTCATGCGGATTGGGTGCAGTTCAAACCACATCCAATCAGCATATATGTGAACTGGCACTTAGATGTGCATCTTAGTAAACACAATATACAGGGATATGGGATATGATTTTTGACATGAGCACACACACACCCACATAGGTTGAACTGGATGGATTGTTGTCTTTATTCAAAATTACAAAATATGTAACCATGTAACTGGCTTGTTTTCAAAAACTGAAGTTTTCCTCTGCTGTACAGAGGAGGTTAAGGAGTTAACGTTTACCATAATTATCCTGAGTGTACTGTGCTGGCATATCTTTTTATCAGTTGCAAACTAGATTTTCAACACTCTGTCCTAACCGAAGGCTTAAAGATGTACAAGTTGGCCTTCTGCTTTGTACGTTGATGAGGGAAACTCAGTCAGTGGGGACAGATTGAGTTTCCTTTCATTTAAACTTATACAGAATAGCTCTGCTCCAAATAAACACCTAGAAAGGTAAGACATTGTTTTAATCAGTTCTATGTATGCTGTGAAAATAAGAACATATAACAAACATAGTTGGGTTTTATAAAATTTAAGCTAGAGAAGTGTAAATACAATTTAAAGTGAATCTTTGCTTTAATTAAGTTTTTTTATGAGATACCTTCTATTAACATCATCAGCCAGAAAAGTTTCTATTGTGCCAGTTACTGAATTATGTTGTAGTTTAATTTTCTGAGACCTGTTTTTCCTTAAAGTACTCACAAACATAAAATATTTTTTTACCTGATTGTATTAAGGTGAAAAAACTTTTAAGTGCAGCTCCCCCCACAGCCCCTAAATACTTAACTGAGCCCAAACTTAGTCCAGAGCTGTGGATGTCTACAGCAGCTCTTCTCCCCTCTCACAGCTTTCACAGGCTTGGCTGAGAGCAGCAGGAGCCATTGGCTTCTGTTGCTATCAATCAAAACCTGTGAGCAGAGGGCAGGGCCAAACTAGGCTGTATATCTGAATAGATGCAAACAGCTTGGCTTGGGATTGAGCGCCCCCATAGGAAGTGGCTTCCTATGGGGCACTCGGTGGGAAGAGTGTGGGAGCCAGGAGTGGCAACGGGGTACCCAAGAAGAGGAAAATCAAAATGGCTCTGCGCAAAACCATTGCAGGTAAGTATGCTATGTTTGTTATTTTAAAAGAGATTTTTTTTTTGCAATATTAATTATACTTACCTAGGTGGATGCAGCATCGATCTGATGCTGCATCTGTCCCCCTCCGGTTCTAAGGATGAGAACTGAGTAATCAAACACCTTCTCCCTGCTGCTCTGAGCAGAGAGCCAGGACTGTCAGTCTCTGGCTCTCTGCTCTTCCCCCTCAGCACTCACTAGAGCGCTGGGATATGGGTGGGGGGCCGAGAACAGCTAGCTCACGTTCTCAGCGGGTACAGGCTCCTGGGTGGATCCCAACCATATGGTTGGGATTTTCCCCAGCCTTGACAAGCCGAGTGACTTTAAACCACTGTATGCTGAAAATTGGTCACAGCAGTGCAGAACGAACTGCATCCCTGTGGTTCACAGGAGAAGTACAGCCAAACGAGCTTTGGCTGTACTCCTCCTTTAATGAAAAAAAGGGAATCTTTACAATCACTTTAACACTGTAGCTATGCCTTACCACTCTACTGTCCAACGAAATTAGCGTATTGCCTGGTAAATGCACCCAGTAACACAGTGAATCTTGTTTCAAATGTCACTTTATGCATTGACATACTGACAAAGCTTGGTTCACACCAACACAGTTTGCTTTTGATCTGTTTATGCAGTGCTTTTTGTAGTGCATTTTTCATGCGTTTTTAATGCTTTTTTTATGGACAGTTTGCTGTTGGGCAGAGTCAAAAATGCATCAAAAACACGTCAAAAACATACATGCTTTTCTACAGCATCTCCTTTGAAGTCTATTGAATCAAAAACACACCATTTTGTGTTAAAAAAAGTCCCTGACCCTTTCCCAAAACACAGCAGCTGAAAAAAGCATAGATGTGAACATGTCCCAAAGGAAACCATGCTAAATGGACTGTAGTGCTCTTCTGCAAAAAACACCAAAAAACGCACTGGTGTGAACCAGGTCTTAGACCCAGTCTAGTCTGTCCAGACAGTAAGGTCACCTGTTGACTTGGCTCCATCAAATTGATTTCTTCAATAAGACACAAAAGCTGAATCCATCGCACATTTACCTTGGATAGTTGCAGTACAGAGGATTTTTTCCTGTCTTTTGAAGTGACTTTCCTAAGCCCTTCCTCTGTGAACCACTAATACTGACTGAGGGAACATGGAAGAAATGGGGAAGGTCTAGCTAGGACCCCATATAGAAGTAAAATATATTTGAAATATATTTTTAAAATATTCTTCCCAGATATATTGACATACATTTGAAATATTACAATTTTGTCCATATTCAACATATTTCAAAATACATTTCAATAAATATATATCTATATATATAGGTGTGTGTGTGTGTGTTATATATTACATTTTGTAATATATAAAAAACGCATTTCAACATCCAGTATATATACTTTATTTGTATGGGAAAATGTTTAATCAAAATGGTAATACATGGAACGTGACTCCATGGAACAGCTTCATTTCAGTCTTTATTGAATCAAATGTGTAAGCACATGCAGTCTGCTGTCTCCACTACAGGTGGCGCTGAACTGGAGCTGCACCGCAGCCTGGAAAGGAAGTCAGGAGAAACATGGTGTCGCTATGGTTTGCTGAGCCCTGAAGGTAGTGTTCCGGCTATGCTGCATGCTGGTGACCCCTGGCGGTCATCTTGGGTCAGCAGAACCTGAGAACTTTGCGAAGTGGATAGAGTAGGGAAAGAGCACCCGCCTGTCAGGGAGAGTGATAGCAGCAGGGAAAGGTTCCTGATGAGTAGGGACAGGTTAGGGACTCACACTCCTGTGCTGTAGTCTCCCCTTTTAGACTAGACCGGCCAGGCCGCATTCCACCCTCTGAAGACAGACGTAGTCGGTGCATCTTTACCAGCTGCCTCTCTACCAAGAACTGAACTGAGAGTGTTACCCTAAGCAGCACTCTCCCAATGGAGTTGTTTGTAGTTGGCATTTTCTGCAATACAAGGCTTGAGTTTTCTGCTGCCCACCACGCTGCACCTCCCCACAAATGCATTACATTTAAATATGTCTTTCTACTAGATGGCTGATCCAGAATCTGATAAGCACAGCACAGAAGATGTGTTAAAGACACTACAAGATCTTAACAAGGATCTGGAACAATTGTTAGAGCAAATCGAGAAGGTATCAGGTAAGCAGGGTTTTTTCAGCAGGAACGTGGGGGAACGCAGTTCCAGCAGTGAATGTATGTAATGGCAAGGGGTGTTGGGGTGTGCTGGAGGGTCTATTGATACTGGCTGTTGTGGGATATATTGTCGCTGTAGGGGATCTATTTTTGTGTAGAGGTCTATTGTTGCTGGCGGGAAGGGGTCTTATGTTCATGGGGGGTCGATTGTTGCTGAGAGGAATCGAATTGTTGAGGGACAGGTCTATTGATGCTGGCTGCTGGTGGATCTATTGTTGCTGATGTGGGTCTATTAATGCTACGGTGGATCTGCTGTTGCCTGGGTGGTATTTTGTTGTGGGTGGGGGGAACGTCTATTGTTTTTGCTGCAGGGGATCTATTTTACTGCTTTTTTTGGTATCATTAACCACTTCCATACCGAGCACTTTTACCCCCTTCCTGCCCAGGCCAATTTTCAGCTTTCAGCACTGTCACACTTTGAATGAAAATTGCGCGGTCATACAACAGTGTACCCAAACTAAAATGTTATCATTTTCTTCACACAATTAGAACTTTCTTTTGGTGGTATTTAATCACCACTGGGGTTTTTATTTTTTGCTAAATTAACAAAAAAAGACCAAAATTTTGAAAAACGAAAACACGTTTTTCTTTGTGTAATAAAAGTTTGCAAATAAATAATTGTTCTTCATAAATTTAGGTCAAGATGTATTCTACTACATTTCTTTGGTTTAAATAACCCAAATTAGTATTTATTATTTAGTCTGTAGGAAAGTGATAGAGTTCACAAACTATGGGATATAACTGAATATTGATCAATACTGAAGTACTGACAGCCAATCTCATTTATTGAGGTCCAAGAATGTCAGAAATGACCCCTTTTTGCAAAGTAGACAGTCCGACATATTTCATAACAGGCATGGCGAGTATTTTGAAATAGTAATTTTTTTGTAATTTTTCGGAAAATGAAGAAATTAAAAAAATATTTTCACAATTTTTTTGTTTTACATACTGTCACTAGTGCAGTACAGCATCATCATATAACTGCCATGGTGGTGATCAGGAACACTGACTGGTGACAGTACGAAAAAAAAGATCTTTTTTTTTAATTTTTTTAAATTATTATTTTTAATTTTTTTATTACATTTTTCTCTTTTTTTAAGATGTTTTTTTCACCATAACCAAAGTAGTATAATGTTACCATAGTAACATTGTACTACTTTGGGGAAGTGATCATCAGTTTTTTTTTTTTTTTTTTTGCACAATTTGCTTATTTCAAAGAATTACTTTGCTATAAGCAAACATTTACCTGAATGAAAATCGATTCATTCAGGGTTTTTTTTTTGTGATTAACTGTGAGTTGGCCACGGCTTTTCATATGACACAGCTGGGCTGTGATTGGCCCAGCTTGTGCATGTCATGTGATCACTGTGACCATTCACAGCTAGACACACTTGTATACAATGGATGGCATGAAAGGAAGCCATCCATTGTATACAACTGTCATGTGACCTGCTGTGATTGATTACAGCAGGTCTCATGGTAATGGCAATGGGGCCGGTACACATCTGTCATCGTCCGTGTCCGAGGTACACGGCTGGTGACAGATCGCCTCACAGCGTGGCCCTGCGGCCCATATGGTGTCCACCCGGAGGGACGAGCTGTTCGCCCAGCCGCCATCTTGCTATAGGTCGGGCGCCAACTGGCTAACAAATTCAATACAAATTACTTAGCACCAGAAAATTATGCTTGTTTCTGTATTCACAAAACTGGGTGGTACTGAGAGGTGGGTAGGGGTGGAACCAAGGGATGGTGTTCGAAGGTGGGTAGGGGGCAGAGACAAGGGGTGACTCAGAAGAGGGGAGTTCCTGTACCTATTTCTGGGAAAAAAAAGCCCTGCAGGTAAGATACATAATCTGAGTAGGTCACGTTCCATGCTTGAAAGATGATCGTGATTGCCATTACTGAACACAGAAAGTAATCATTGATTGTAATTGAGGAGCAATGTATTATTATTTTCATCAGATACTTTTATCATTGCATACCGATTTAATAATAGCCCAGATATTGCCAAAGAATGCTCACTGACTGCTCACCAAACTTAAGAATTAATCCATCTTCCTGTCCTTGAAACTGTAGCACACACCGCCCTCTGCCTTGTAATTTGGATAATGGCACCTTTGCATCTGGTGCGCTTCCTTTAAATGCCCCAAAACACATGTCAGTGCAAACAAATATAAAAATATAGTGAACAATTCTGATTGCAAAGTCTCTTAAATAGTGTTGCTTCTTCGACTTCAAAAAAAAAACTTCTTAAAACTTAATCCACCACCACAAACACCAGATGTGCTCTCACCTGGAGTTTTTGACCTCACATAAAGTTAGGTAAAAAAAACGCATGTGTCCCTTGAAGTGGACATACAATGGTGGGTGTATCTTGTATACAGAATCGTCCTCCAGTAGTGACCGGTCCCTTTAATCCTTCCTCCTCCACTCAGCATACATATGTCAGAAAAAATGAGTAAAACACAATAGTGCTTTATCCTTTAAACACACTGCTTTATTAAAAACATAAAATTGGCCACACACATTGTGTGGGTGCTTAATTGCACCTAATATTATGCACATATAAATCCAAAATTACCATTCGTAAGGATATACAAATAGCCTCCACTTCTCTGCTGTATGGTATCACTGGGTCACGTGGCTTCCTCAGGGGTATATATTTGTACAGCATAAAGTTACTTCTTCAGGAATGATGGGAACACAATATCTACAAGAAAAAAACAAAATCAATATAATACATACATTATATAGCACATATAAATCTCCAATAAACCATGCCATTGGGTAGGGATCTACAGAGCTTACCAAGGAATGGAAATTGGACCAATATACCACAGGCCAGAGTCCAGGGAGCCACATCCTACCCCCAGTGGGCATGGGAGACTCACAGACAGATCAGACACTCAATAAAAGCTGCAAAAACATTTAAATCCAGTAAATTGTGATCATTAGAAACCTAGGGTAAAGATCACAATATATCCAAGGAGACCTACCAAAAGGATTTGGTATCGATGTGTATATGTGGGCCACATTTAGGTGGGACATAAAGCAAAGCTCTTCCAGCTGAATTTCTTCTATGGTGAATAGAAATCCAAACACGATACAGAAATCCAACATGGGGCCTTAAGAGCCTGTGCCAAAGGGGTAAGACACATTTATTTTTATTGAGTGTCTGATCTGTCTGTGTGGCTCCTTGGAGTTTGACCTGGGGTATACTGCTCCTATATCTAACCCTGGGTAAGCTCTGTAGATCCCTATCCAATGGCAGGGCTTTTGGAGATTTATATGTATTACATATGTATTACATTATTTTTGTTTTTTCCTGTAGCTAAGATTCCCATCTTTCCTGAAGAAGCAGATTTTTGCTACGAAACATGCTGAAATGTATCAACTGTGAAAAGGCTTCCCAATGAGTCTTTACTGTACTTATCTCATAGTATCTGTTAATACATCAAGTAAAATGTTTTTGTTAAATCTATATTTTGAACATCCACTGCAATAACGTGTATTTGTGCTTACTATTAGCTGAAGCTACAGGGATGGCTTATGAAATGGTGACTACCCGCAGCAATCCTGGCCTGGCTGAACAAGTGAAGAGACTCAATGAAGCTTTTCAGAAGTGCCTGAACGAGGTGCAGAAAAACTGGAAGGAGATGCTAGAGGAAGCCAAGCAGGCATCAGAGTCAGAATGCTGTAATGACAATAGCTCTGTTTTCCTTCAAACCTAAAATGCATAATTTATATGTAGCAAAACTATAATTGACTTAAAAGCATTTAAAGTTCATTCAATTTATTTAAAGTTTACACAGTTCACTTTATACCATTACAGAAATCCAGAAAGCTAAATGTAAATAAATAGCTTGACTTGATAAAGATATAACAGTGTCATGCATTTGTCTGCTAATCTATATTAACCTTTTTATACATGAATAAAAATGCCTTTATCTAGATAGATATAGTAAATATTCATGAATATTAATATGAGTGTGACCAGTCCATTGCAGTGTCTGTGTGGAGCGCCAGTGACATGCTCTAGACGCAGTCTAAACAATGTCTCATTTTGATCAAGGAGTTTACATTTTGCTGTGTGACACCTCTTCATTGTTACCTTCATTTCTGACCCACTGACAGCTGCTGTTACAGAGTATGAAACCTTCAGGAAACAGCATATTCCATAAACTGGAAGAAGCTAAAGCAGGTAACATTCAGGCAGATTGTATTGGGCAGAAGGTTGAGGTATACAATACACCAAACTAAATTTGTACTGCTTGGTAATATCACAGGCATGCTGGAGTGCAATTAAAACTGAACTACCATTGCTATACACTTGCAAATTTCTAGCAAATATTTGCATAAAAACAGGTATTCTTATTTTGCTTATATTGGAATACTTGATCAAGCTGGCCAACTGTGTCAATGTGATCCCTCTTTGGCCAGTCCCTATTCTACAGTGCAAAATACCTTATAGCATACTTCAAGAGACATACAATTCCAATATGGAGCACACATTCACATAAGAGAGCTACAGACACAGGTCTGGTGGATGACCTGCACTATGCAATAGAAATGGACAAACTACATCCAAATAACCTATACATAGTATATACAGTATATATGTATATAGATAAAACACCTGAGGTGCTAAAGGGGTATGATTGCAAGTGATCCAAAGACTTGCTGGTAGGTTAATTGGCTCCTGTCTGAATTGGCCCTAGTATGTGTATGTATGAATGTGAGTTAGGGACCTTAGATGACAAGCTCCTTGAAGGCAGGGACTGATGTGAATGTATAATATATATGTAATGTGCTGTGTACATTGACAGCGCTATAGAAGTACCTGTAATAATACTAATAAAAATAATAATAATGATAATACATAATAATGTTTAATACTGAAGATTCTGAATGAACCCTCTGTTATATACCCTTACATACTGTATTTCTAGCAAATGTTTGCTTATCAGCAGGGATTCTTGGGCTGCATATTTTGCAGGATATATCCAAGCTGGCCAACTGTTTCAAAGAGATCCTTCTCTGGCCAGTTCCTACGCTACTGTGTAAAATGCAAAATAATTACTTGCTTTTAGCATACCATGTACATATGGGGCTGAAAGACATACTTTGAGGAAAGATACAAATAGCTTACATATATTAATATAACGTGAGGTCTTTTAAGTGTTAAACATGTGGCCACGTTCCTTTAGCACCTATTTTATATGCAGTATATACAGTATGTAATCTATTTGGCAGGAAATAACGAACTTTTCCATATCTAGTGCACAAGTGCAGTTCCTTGTTTAAGTCAGCAGATGGTGTGGACGCTCTCAAGAGAAGGAGAAATATGATGTTTGGAGAGCTGATCACACAAACAGAGGATCAGTGGCTGCTTACAGGTGTGCAGGAGCCATTGGTTCCTTACAGCCAATTAAGGTGCATTCTTGCTTAAGGTTTTCACTGTATTCATAGTGAATCTGGAGGATAATCTGCATAGTCCCAGAAGGTAAAAGGTGAGACGCATGCTTAGAAAAAGTGGGTAGATCAAAGGTATTTCTCTTTCTGACACAATCCTGTTAAAGAGAACCAGTCTTGGTAACAATTCAAATTCAGACCTAAGATAGAACTATAGGCAAAACTTTTTTTTGGTATTTGGGAAATAAACCCCTGTCAGGTTTTTTTTTGCCATCTGTGCCCCATTGGGGAGATTTCCATTCACTCCCTGCCAAAACAAGAAGTGAGATGTAATCCCTCCAAAGTGAGGGAATGACTGGTTGTCATTAGGGTAATCAGTACTAGTGTTCCCGTTGGAAATTATTTCCTCTGTTACTGTTTTGGTGACAACCCAAGATTTTGGATTTTTTTTTTTCTGGTTGATGTGTGTGATAGACCTGAAGTATAGGTTGGTTCCAATGGATCTACAATAAGATGATTTTTCCTTTAAAGAAGCATATCCAAAACTGAAATATAGTAGGTGGACAGCCTGACCCTGCCCTGGTCCTAGGCTGCTACCTCTCTGTTACTGACAATGGGAGTGTTTGCCAGATGGTAAATTCTTGGATGTGTACTGAGGAGCACCTGGTACAAAAGTTCATCAATCTAAGGACTTTTTGAAACATTTAATAGTCAAGAGCATCAAATACAGTCAACATGATTAAGGGGAAAAGTCTCCCCCTTCTTCAGGGTTTCTGCAGTCAAGAACCAGTTGCCATCAGGAGACATTAGTCTTCATTAAGGCTCTATTCACACTAGGGTTTTTCAAATGGCAGGTGGAATCGCTGGGATTTTGCCTGCAATTTGAAAACGCACTGTAAAAGTGTGAAAACGCACTCGTGTGTTCAGGTGCCATTCATTTAAATGGCACCTGAAATCGCAGGGCATTTTTGCCGCAATTGCCCTACAGTGAATGGAGCCTAAACCGGTGGTATATTGCAAAAACCCTGCAAGTTAAGGGCATAATGTGTTAGTATGCATTGCATACTAGCACATTATGAAAGACTCACCTTAAAATGAAGCCCTCCAGCAGTGCGCTGTCACCCTTAACAGGGCTTCCATCTTCACCTGGTCTTTCCTTTGGGTTTGCGGGCTCTGGCCGGTTGAATGGGTGAGCCGCAATGACGTCTCTCCCACGCATGTGCATGGGAGTTATGGCCACGGCACAGCTCTCTCAATGGATTGCATGCCGTCCATTAACCACTTGCCCTCCAGAAGATTTACACCCTTCCTGATCAGGCCATTTTTTGCAATACGGCACTGCTTTACTTTAACTGACAATTGTGCAGTCATGCAACGCTGTACATAAATGAAATTTATTTCATTTTTTCCCACAAATAGAGCTTTCTTTCTGTGGTATTTGATCACCTCTGCATTTTTTATTTTTTGTGCCATAAACAAAAAAAGACTGACATTTAAAAAAAAAAAAAACAATATTTTTGACTTTTTGCTATGAAACATTTCCAATAAAAAAAATAAAATTTCTTCACAAGTTTAGGCCAAAATGTATTCTGCTAAATGTCTTTGCTAAAAAAAATCCTAGTAAGTGTTTTACGTGAAAGTTATAGTGTCTACATGTAAGTTATAGTGTCTTGAAATGGCGGTATATATACTGGAATTTTTATTTATTTATTTATTTTATACTAGTAATGGCGGCAAACAGCGAGTTATAGCAGGACTGTGGTGGGCATTTGACACTGATGGGGAACTGACTAATTGCCACTGACATCTCCAGTGACATTAACAGTGATCAGTGCTAATAAAAAGCACTGACAGTGTACTAATGACAATGGGAAGGAAGGGGTTAACATTTGGGCGATCAAAGGTTTAACTGTGTGTTAGGGAGTGATTTAACTGTATACTGTGTCCTGTTTTACTAAGGAGACCTGCTGATTTCTATCTCTCTGCTATGCAGAGAGATAGAAAGCAACACGTCCATGCTGACAGGAGAGAGAGACCTGTGTTGTTTATATACAGATCTCTCCTCTCTCAGCTTCATCGACGATCACCGAGTCCCAGCCAGGAATTGCTGACCGGGACTCGGTGACTGACATCCTCAGGAGCCAATAGCAGCGCGTGCACTCCCTACCTGGAAATGCAAAATCACATATAGCAGTACATCTGCTATGGGGCGGTGGGCAATCGGCTAAGAGCGCAGTGTGCATACATTGATGACATCACCGGCTGCTACAAAAGTAAATATCTCCTAAACGGTGCGTGTTTAGGAGATATTTACTGTAAATACAGGTAAGCTTTATTATAGACTTACCTGTAGGTATAAATTACTACCCCTTTAAGACCGGCTCCTTAGTGCATTCTCTCGTGATTTTATTAACATTGGCTGCTCAAACCCTGAAGAAAGGGGAGACTTTTGCCCCTCGAAATGCATTGTCTGTATTTGATGTTCTTAACCATTAAATGTTTCAAAAGTCTTTCATTTGATATCTTTTTGATCTACAGGTGAAACTCGAAAAATTAGAATATCGTGCAAAAAGTTCATTTATTTCAGTAATGCAACTTAAAAGGTGAAACTAATATATGAGATAGACTTATTACATGCAAAGCAAGATAGTTCAAGCCGTGATTTGTCATAATTGTGATGATTATGGTTTACAGCTCATGAAAACCCCAAATCCACAATCTCAGAAAATTATAATATTACATGCAATCAATAAAACAAGGATTGTACATAGAACAATATCGGACCTCTGAAAAGTATAAGCATGCATATGTACTCAGTACTTGGTTTGGGCCCTTTTGCAGCAATTTCTGCCTCAATGTGGCGTGGCATGGAAGCTATCAGCCTGTGGCACTGCTGAGGTGTTATGGAAGACCAGGATGCTTCAATAGCGGCCTTCAGCTCTTCTGCATTGTTCGGTCTCGTGTCTCTCATCTTTCTCTTGGCAATGCCCCATAGATTATCTATGGGGCTCAGGTCAGGCGAGTTTGCTGGCCAATCAAGCACAGTAATCCCACGGTCATTGAACCAGGTTTTGGTGCTTTTGGCAGTGTGGGCAGGTGCCAAGTCCTGCTGGAAAATGAAGTCAGCATCCCCATAAAGCTCGTCTGCGGAAGGAAGCATGAAGTGCTCCAAAATCTTGTGGTAGACGGCTGTGTTGACCCTGGACTTAATGAAGCACAGTGGACCAACACCAGCAGATGACATGGCTCCCCAAATCAACACAGACTGTGGAAACTTTACACTGGACTTCAAGCATCTTGCAGTGTGTGCCTCTACATT